CCCGCCCCGCACCCTGGGGTGCCCCCCGCCCCCTTAGAGCTTTATTTATAATTTTTACTGTGATTTAAGCAAACAGTGCTGGCAGGGTGGTGGGAAAGAAACAAAACCCGCCCCGTTTTGACCCAAAAAAGAGGTGCTCCCGTGTCACAAGCTGGGGAGCACCCATGGGTGCTGCATTGTCCCGATGCCCCCAATGAGCTGGCAATTAGGGGAGGGGGGGCTTTTTTTTTAATGGATTATAAAAATACTTCCTGGACCCAATTTCCCTCAAATTAAGGATGCTGGGGGTTGATCTCGGTGCCCCCCCCGGGGGTGTTTTGGGGGGTGTTCAAGCTTAGCTTGGATTCCCTGATGTTTAATATAGGATAGAACCAGCATATCCTTAATGAAAAGAAAAACGTGGGGTTTTTTTCTCCTTCTTTCCCTTTTCCCTGCTGTTTGCAGGCTGAGGTGTGTGTGTGGGGATCACTGGAAAAAAACCTAATTTCCTCAGGAAGCAAAGTGAAAGCTTTGGCCAAAAAGCTGGGACTCCAGGAATTTGGAGCTATTAGAGCTGGGGGGGCTTCCTGGACCCCCCCCCCAGACTTGTGCCCTGAGCTGCAAGTTCCAGCCGTGTGCAAAGTGTGAAAATAAGGGGAAAAAGTGAAAGGGGATGGAAAAAAATCCATCATCTAAGCCCCGATTTCAGCAGCGATAACAGCTTGCAGTGAAAGGGTTTTCGTCTCCCGGTTCCAGGGCACCGAGGGGGGGGATTTTGGGGCTGGAAACGGAGCTTTTTGGTCAACCGAGGAGGGAAACTGCCTTTTTCTTTTAACCCTTTCCCTTCCCCAGGTGGGTTTTGTGGCTACTGAAATCCAGGCTGTGCTTTGGGATCGGGGTGGGGGGGTGGATGGGATTCGGTGTTAACGCTGTGAGGGGAGGTTTGGGAAGGCCAGTATTGGAAACAGGGCTGAGAACTGGTGCTTTCATTGCATGCTGAGGGGAAACTGAGGCACAGCTGTGCTGGGGACGATGGCAGCGGGATGGGGACATCCAGATGGGTGCAGACCCCAACCAGGCACTGCACTGGGGTGAAGGGATGTGACTAGTGCCGCTCAGCAGGACTCGGGGTGGGTTTTGGGGTGCTGCCCCCCTCGGTGGCAGGCAGAGGGTTGTTTTCCCTGGCTGGGTGACAGGGCTGTGCCAGGGGGGAAGGAAGCGGCGGCACGATAAGGGCTGGCTGCCAACCCAAGAGGTTTCCCCTTGTTTTTCTGCTTGGGGATGAGATAAGAGCTGGGCACCAGCACAAGATAATGCCCTGGGGACAAGGAGCAGGGAGGGAACCCGCCGGCAGCCTAAATTCAAGGTGCTGTTGCCTCTGGGTGCTCAGAGGGACCTGACAGGGTGTTTCGGGGTGTGCGCGGTTCACAGACAGGGTGTGGAGCATGAGTGAGCTGGTAGTTTTGGGGTGAAAAGCCATTTTCTGCACTCCCAGCCCTTCCCAGGTCCTGGGGTTCCCTGACCTGGGGGTCCCTCACCCTGCTGCAGGGCCAGGGCTGGTGGAGGAGGAACACAGGCTTTATTCCAGGCTGAACGGGAGGTTGCACAACCCGGCCCCGGGGGAACGTGAGGCGGGTTCGGGCTTTGCTCAGCGTTTGGCTCCGGCCCTCCTTGCTTTCCATAACCTTCCTCTGGCGTTTGTTTAGTGCTTTACTACTCCGGAGCCGGTTGGGATTGAGCTCCCCCGAGGAGGAGGCGGCTTTAGAGGGTGCATATTCCTTCCTCACTCTCCTTCCTCCTCCTCTTCCTCAACCCCAAGCCACTGAGCACCTCTGTTTGCTGATCCCCTGTGCAGATGTCGACCTACAAGCGAGCAACGCTGGATGACGAAGACCCCCTGGACTCCATTGGTGATGGTGATGGGTACCCCAATGGCTTCCAGGTAGGGCTGTATGTGTGCTTTAGGGGAAAAAAGGAGGATTTTAGGTCCTGGTAAGCAGCAAAGGGGGTTGCTGAAGCGTTTTCTGCCTGGGACCAGCCTTTCTGTGGGGCAAAGTCCAGGCTGGGCAGAGCCATGTTGGTTCCTGCTGGCACCCAGAGCCTGTGGGTGCTGTTTGCAGTGCCCCAGCTCCCAGTTTTTCTGCCACCCAAACCCCTTCCCAGCATGTCCGGGCTGAGCAATTATGGTGGCAGTGGGAGCTTTGTCCCCATCCAAATGGGATTAGGTTAATTCCTCCCCAAGCAGCAGAAAAGCAGCTTAAAAAGGGCTGAGGGTGGCAAGAAAAACCCCCACGGCTGCCAGCGTGCCAGGTCTGCGCTGGAGCGATGCTCTCGGCGCTGGCCTCACTCCCAGCCCCATTGCTCTGTGAACAGAATGGTGCTTTCTGCCCCTAAACCAGCACTCTGCTGTGTTTGTACTTTCCCAACGGGGCCGTCTCCGCTTGCCGGCGCATCGGGATGTTTCCTGGGGATGTTTTTCGGCCGAGTGGGAGTATCCTGTTAAGGCATTTCCCGCCGCCGTGGCCCCCACCCTGTCCCAGTGCCGGCAGCGGGGACAGGGACGCCCGGGGGGTTACGGCCGTGCTCGAGGAGGGGTTTGGGGTGGCACAGGGTAGCAGGTGAGCCTCCCGAAACGCTCAACCCGCTCCCTTTCCTGCCATTGTGCCGCCCTTCCTGGCCAGTTTCTGGAAGGCAGCTGTCGCCTTTCCCAGGCCGAACCGCGCCGGATCCGTCGCCAGGAGCCAGACTCGTGCTGTGGGCTGTAGGAAGCACAATGTGGGATGTGTCGGTGGGTTTTTCCAGCGGTGGGGAAAGGACGTTGCTCTTCCCCCAGGTGAACTTCCGCAGCTCAAGGAGCGCCCCGGGGTGCTGGGCTGAGCGGACACGCGCCGAGAAGCAGCTCGTGGTGCTGGGGGGGGGGCTGGGGGGCTGGGGGCCGTGCTGGTGGCGTGTCTGCTGGGTCTCATCTTCCAGTACAGAGCCCGTAAGTCCTTGCACCATACAGGGATCCTACCCTCTTGAGCAGTGTGGGATGCTGGGGGGTTCCCTGGGATGGGATGCTTGGGTGCAGGATGGGATGCTCCTCTGCATTCTTTATTGTGGAGTGTGATGCTTGAGCACAGGATGGGGTACTTGCCTGAATCCTTCATCCCAGGGTAGGATGCTTGGGCACGGGGCAGGATGCTTAGGGGCAGGATGGGGTTCTTGCCCGCATGCCTTACCATGGAATGGGATGAGCAGGCAGGATGCTCAGCATGGGTTGGGATGCTGCTCTGTATTGTCCTGGAGCGGGATGTTATGGTACAGGGCAGGATATTTGGGTACCAAATGGGATGTTTGCCCACAACCTTCACAGAATCCCAGACTGGTTTGGGTTGGAAGGGACCTTAAAGCTCATCCAATTGCGACCCCCTGCCATGGGCATGGACACCTTCCACTAGGCCAGGTTGCTCCAAGCCCCTGTGTCCAACCTGGCCTTCATCACGGGGCAGGATGCTCCATGGGGAAGCTCATCATGGCACGGTGCAGGAGCTGAACTCTCATTCCCTCCCGCAGGGGTGCCGGCTGTGTGCCTGTCGGAAGCCTGCATCTCCGTCACCAGCTCCATCCTCAGCTCGCTGGACCGGGCGGTGAATCCCTGTGAGGACTTCTTCAGCTACGCCTGCGGGGGCTGGATCAAGGCCAACCCCCTCCCTGATGGCCACTCACGCTGGGGCACGTTCAACAACCTCTGGGAGCACAACCAGGCCATCATGAAGCATCTGCTGGGTGAGTCCATGGGAGCGGTGGGACCTGCGGTGTCAAGGAGCCCCGTTAGGTCTGGGGATGCCAAAAACATGTCTAGGGGGATGTCAGGTTGGACTTAAACCCCAGCGTCAAACCAGCCCGTGACGCATGTGCTGCAAGGACATTGGGAAGCAGATCCTGGCTGTGTTTGCTCTCCTGGCTGCCCCTGGGATTTTTGACCATGGCGTTGCAGCTCTTTAGTGCCGAGTAGGGGAAGGGTCCTGGCCTTGGCTCTGCAAACCCTGTGGTGATGTTCCGAGGAGCTCTGAAATTCAGGATTTGCACCCAAGACTGCTTCCAGAGTGTATAACACCCCAATATCACCCCAAATATATGGGTTTTTTTTCCTCCTGCTCTATCTTCCAGCCTTGCGAGTTGCTTTTTGGGTGGGCTGGCTGCCAATCTGGCCATTTTTTGGGACCAAAGCTCTCTCAGCAGGGGGAGGATCCTGGGCTCAGCCTCTGCGTGTGAGCACCAAAGCGGGGTGGCTTATCCAAGTGACCGGCGGGGATGGTTTGTTCAAGCTTTGAGCAAACAACTGGCTCCTTATCAGCACTTTCCACCACTCTGGGGCTGGTTATCTGGAAAGAGAAGGTTTGGGAAGACTGTTGTCTTTTGGGAGAAGCGGAGGGAGCGCAGGAACAGCTTCATCCCGGTTCTTCCTGCAGAAATCTGGTGCTGGTTTTACTGGGAGAAGGGACCAGGCCTCCAGCCAAGTGGTCGCGCTCGGCATTTCCTTGAATTCCTTGGAGCTGAGGGACCTTTAGTTAATAAACCCACACAGCTGGGAAGCCAAAGGTGCAAGCTGTGTCATGAGGAACATCAGATAATAAAAACCAAACCTCAAGGGAGGCAGAATTTTAGAGCAGGGGGGGATAAAAGGTTGGGTTTGGAGGCGGAGGAGAAAAATGGGTTTATTGTTTCTTCTTGCAGGAATAAATAATATAAGGCTGGGGAGCACTGGAACAGGGGCAAGGGCAGCGCAGGGGGATGGGTGATGGTGGGAACATCAGAGCTGCTGGAAAAATGCTTTTTTTGTTTTCCCTTTCTTTATCTTTCTGCTCCAAGGAGCTGGAGTAGTCGCTGCGGGTGGGAAAGGAGATGGGGGCAGGAGGCCAGGAAGGGACTTGGGGCCATGGGATGCTTTTGGAGGCACGGAGGGAGCTGGCAGGGCAAACCTCAGAGCCTGGTTTTGCCCAAATGAGGCTGGATTTTTCTCTGGAGGAAAGGTGGGAGCTCTGTGCACCGTCAGTGCACATGGGGGGCTGGATGCCCATCCCTGGGACCCCCTGTGAGACCCCCTGCGTACCTCCTGCAGAAAACACCACGGCCAACGTGTCGAGCGAGGCAGAGCGCAAAGCGCAGCGTTACTACCAAGCTTGCATGAATGAGAGCAAGATCGAGGAGCTGCGTGCCACCCCGCTTGTGGAGCTCATCCAAAAGGTTCAGACACTTCCTTGGGGAAAAGCTATCTTTGTTTTGTCTGCAAAATGGGGGGAACAGCTCATTTATGGGCAGTCCCAGCACACTACAGACCCCATTCTGGGTGCTTCCTAGGGAAGAGCATCCCCCAGAGGAGGCAGGCAGAGAGAGGCAGGGATTTATCATGGAATTAGACTGGTTTGGGTTGAAGGGACCTTAAAGCTCACCCAGTTTCAACCCCTGCCATGGGCAGGGACACCTTCCACTAGAGCAGGTTGCTCTAAACCCCTGTGTCCACGCTGGCCTTGAACACTGCCAGGGATGGGGCAGCCACAGCTTCTCTGGGCACCCTGTGCCAGCGCCTCAGCACCCTCCCAGGGAAGAACTCCTTCTTAAGATCCCATCTGATATCTATAGGCATAGATTTATAGGCAGCTCGTGCCACTCCTGTTTTCTTTAGCCCCACTGCGAGATGTTTCCCTCCAGGACAGGTATTAGGTGGATATTTGAGCAATTCCAGGTGGTTATTCCTTACCCAAAAGCCGGTTGCTGTCTGTCCCCAGTCAGCACCCTCCCAGGGAAGAACTCCTTCTTAAGATCCCATCTGATATCTATAGGCATAGATTTATAGGCAGCTCGTGCCACTCCTGTTTTCTTTAGCCCCACTGCGAGATGTTTCCCTCCAGGACAGGTATTAGGTGGATATTTGAGCAATTCCAGGTGGTTATTCCTTACCCAAAAGCCGGTTGCTGTCTGTCCCCAGCTGGGTGGCTGGAACATCACGGGTCCATGGGCCGGTGACAACTTCAACTCGGGAGGTGACGGCGCATTACCGCACCTCCCCCTTCTTCTCCGTCTACGTCAGTGCCGACTCCAAAAACTCCAACAGCAACGTGATCCAGGTGGATCAGTCGGGGTTGGGCCTGCCCTCACGGGATTACTACCTCAACAAGACAGAGAATGAGAAGGTAAGGTTGTTGGAGGAAAGGTGGATTTGAGGGGAGGTGCCATGGGTGAGTGGCACCCACCATGCTGATCCCCCCCTCTCCTATGGCATAGGTGCTCGCCGGGTACCTGAACTACATGGTGCAGTTGGGGATGTTCTTGGGAGGCACTGATGAGGAGTCGACTCGGCAGCAGATGCAGCAGATCTTGGACTTTGAGACGGCGTTGGCCAACATCACCATCCCACAGGAGAAGCACCGGGATGAGGAGGTCATCTACCATAAAATGACGGCTGGAGACCTAAAGGTAGGGATGGAGTTGGTGAGCCTCCCTGCTCCGCTGTGGTTTGGGAAGTGCAGGGGATGGATGGAGGTGATGCAGCTCCTCTGAGGAAGCCCGACACAGCCTGGGAAGCTCTAGTGCAGTGGCTTAGCCTGTGTCCTCCTTGGGGGAATCCCACCCTGAGCTGTTCCTCCAGCCTCCAGACCACCCCTGGGGCTGGTATCTGTCCCGCTGTGGTACTGCTGCCTGCGGACACCGGCCCAGTCACCTCCCTGCATCCCCAGAGGGGCCCTAATGGGTTGTGTCAACATCTTTGACACCCGCCCTGCTTTTTTTCCTTTGTGGGAGGAAATTGTTTACTCCCCTCTGACCTTTCAAGGCTGCTGCTGTTATGGGAACCAGCCTCTGCAAAATCAGCTGAGTCCCTCAAACTGGGGCTGATGCAGCCGCTTCCAGCTCGGGAAGCAGTTGCCACCCCGCTCCAATGGATTCTGGGTCCATAGCAGTGCCATGGCTTTTGCAGGAGCTGGCACCAGCCGTGGACTGGATGCCCTTCCTCAGCACGGTGTTCTACCCTGTGGAGCTCAATGAATCTGAGCCCGTCGTGGTCTATGCCAAGGAGTACCTGGAGCAGGTCTCTGACCTCATCCTGGCCACAGATAAATGGTGAGAGCCCCCAGCCCGCACAGAGGGTGCGCAGCGTGGGCAGGAACATCCCACTGCTCACTCACCACCTCTCGCTGCAGTCTCCTCAACAACTACATGATCTGGAACCTGGTGCGGAAAACCAGCCCCTTCCTTGACCAGCGCTTCCAGGACGCTGAGGAAAAATTCATGGAAGTGATGTATGGGACGAAGAAGGTGAGTGTGGAGCCCCCGGTGCCCCCAAATCACCATTAAAATGGTGACAGCTTTTTAAGCCAAGTCCTTGTCATGTTGCATCCAAAAGAGAGGTGTGGGTCAGGTTTTGGGGTGGCAGCTCCAACGCAGGGATGCGGACCTCACCTCCTGGCAGGGCAAGGGAGTGGGAAGGTTTTGACCGTGCCACCACTGATGCCCACCTCTGTCCCATGCAGACCTGCCTCCCACGCTGGAAGTTCTGCATCAGTGACACTGACAACAACCTGGGCTTCGCCCTGGGGGCCATGTTTGTCAAGGCCACCTTCGCCGAGGACAGCAAGCAAGTGGTACGTCCCCCATGTGGGTCCCAGTGCCAGATGGCGCAGATGCTGTTTCTCTCTCCACCTTATTTTGTTCACTGTACATCTCCGTTTGCTGGGTTTTTCACTGGTCCACATTCCATCTTGGCCTCCCAGCTTCTTCCTCCCCACTGGTGCGAAGGGTCCTTGACCTGTCTGGGGTGGGAAGCCGGCTCTGGCCCGATGCTGTGCTGCTTTGTTTTGTCCAGGCAGAGGAAATGATTGCAGAGATTAAAACAGCCTTTGAGGAAAGCCTGGAGACCCTGCAGTGGATGGATGAAGAGACAAGGAAATCAGCCAAAGAGAAGGTGAGGTGCCGGCAGCGCTTGGAGGAGAGGGCGTTAGTGAAGGGTGGTGGAGCTGGGCAAGTATGTCCTTCCACCCCGGCACCAAAAGCACTGTGGTCCTTGTCACCCCACCAGGCAGATGCCATCTACAACATGATTGGCTACCCCAAGTTCATCATGGACCCCAAGGAGCTGGATAAAGTCTTTAATGACGTGAGTTGGTCGGATATGTCCATTGGGTCTCCTATTCCCCCCTCCACTAGAACATGCAGGATGTGCCCATCAACAGGGCCCCAGGTTTTCTCCTGAAGGGTCTCACTGATGTCCTTGGCCCTTCTCTGGGGGCTTCCCAGAGAGCTGTGCACCAGCCCTGGGGTGGTTGGGGCTCTTGAGATCCCTGCCTGGGAAGAGGAGGAGCCGGTTTCCGTAATGGTGATTCACTGTCCTCCTGAGACTCCACAGATGTTGGAGAGGAGGAGAAACAAGCGTGGCTATAACTTGGCCGGCTCCGGAGGCTCAGACATGACCATGGAGGGAGGAGCAGGGCTGGGCGGTCACCACACACCACTCATGCCTTGCTCTCTTGCAGTACGAGGCCGTGTCTGACCTCTACTTTGAGAACGTCATGCAGTTTTACAACTTCTCGGCCAGAGTCACCGCTGACCAGCTCCGGAAACCACCAAACCGGGACCAGTAAGTCTTCTGCTCCACTTCCTGTTGTGACCAGCAGGGAGTATCACTGGGATTTGGTGTCCATCAGACCATGCTGGTTTTGGGGAGTTAAGTTTGGGCTGATGGCTTTGCGTTATGATAAGTGGATGGTGTTGGAGCAAACATCAGTGATGGGTTTGTGCAGCCACGTTGTCCATGTCCGGGTCTCTACAGGTGGAGCATGACACCCCCGACGGTCAATGCGTACTACTCTCCCACCAAGAATGAGATTGTCTTTCCTGCTGGCATCCTCCAGGCCCCTTTTTACACACGTGCATCTCCCAAGTAAGAGCCTATGGAAACAGGGAGGGCAGGATTCCCAAGTTTCCTCCTGTGACAACATTTGAGGCTCAGTTTCAAGGCTGTGGAAAGCAGCGGCTGCTCTTTTAAATCTCAGCATCGTCTCCTTGCAGGTCACTGAATTTTGGTGGGATCGGCGTGGTCGTGGGCCATGAGTTGACACATGCCTTTGATGATCAAGGTATGGCCAGGGCCAGGCGGGTGGGCTGCTGGAGGGGTGGCCAGTGAGGTGATGAAGGATCCGTTGTGGTTTCGGCAGGCCGGGAATATGACAAGGATGGCAACCTGCGTCCCTGGTGGAAGAATTCCTCTGTGGAGGCCTTCAAGCGTCAGACAGCGTGTATGGTGGAGCAGTATGGCAACTACACCGTCAACGGAGAGGCTGTCAATGGCAAGCACACCCTCGGGGAGAACATCGCCGACAACGGGGGCCTCAAGGCGGCCTACCGGGTAGGGCTATGGGGCTGGGGAGGTGTGGTGTGGGGCATGGTGTGGTGGGATCGGTGGTGTCCTCTGAGCCTGCTCTCCTCCCCGGCCTCCAGGCATATCAAAACTGGCTGAAAAAGAATGGGGATGAGGAAACCCTCCCAACTCTCGGCCTCACCAACCACCAGCTCTTCTTTGTTGGCTTCGCACAGGTAGGTCACTTGGTGGTGGGCAGGAAGGGAGAAAAGGTTCGTGGGGAGTGGAGACATGTCCATGTGGTGTTGGGAGGATGAGATGGCAAAAGCTGAGGTCTCCAGAGATGCTGTGTAGCAGATAGAGAACCAGATGAGGGCGAGACAAAGCTGGAGCTCCATCTTGCTGTTGTCCATCACTCAAGCAGGGAGGTCCAATTTGGCGCCAAGTAGGGCCCTATGGATGCAGACACCGGCACTGGTGCCTCTTGCCCTCATCTGCAGGTGTGGTGCTCGGTTCGCACGCCGGAGAGCTCGCACGAGGGGCTCATCACAGACCCCCACAGCCCCTCGCGATTCCGGGTCATCGGCACCGTCTCCAACTCCCAGGAATTCGCGGAGCATTTCGGCTGCCCCCTCCCCCGTGACCCCCCCCAGGAAATGTGAGGTCTGGTGACGGGCGAGCGCCTGGAGGGAACCGGCTGCTTCATCCGATGGCTGTACTTCCCAGGTCCTTTTGAGAGGATCAAACCACTTCTCCACACAAGGAACTGCCCAGCTCTTAGCCGGAGTGGTGCCCGCATTCCCGGGATCATCCGAGCTTCATCCACTGTGAAACTCCTTCATCCCGTTGCTCGTTTGTGGAATGCCTTCCACTGGGGGGTCTCTTCTTCCCCACCATGACCAGGCCATGTGTTTAGGCACATGTCCATGGGCACTACCCTGTATAGTGCTCCAGCCTGACCCACCATCCTGGCAAATTCCTCTTTTCTGGAGGTGATAAAGGGATCCCATGGCGCCGGCAGGTTTGGCTGCGTGTCTGAATGCACCTGATGGACTTTCCTCTCTCCAAAGATGCGCACATGAGGATGGAAAATATTTTAAGATATATTTTTTTGGGGGGGAGGCAAATATCTATTTTTTTCATGCCTTGTGGAATACACTGGAAAATTTCAGGGAAAATGCATTTAAAAGCCGCTTTTTTCTTTTTTTTTTTTTTTTTTAAGTAAAAGATGAGTATATTTATTAATTCTTTTTTACTCAGTGCAGCTGTAGGTGCAGCACCCTGTGGTGACAGTGACTGGTGACAGGCTATCTGCTGGCGAAACTGGATGGGGCTGTGGATGCAACTACCCAGCCCCAGATCCCGGTTTCTCTGGGAGGGACTGTCCTTGGAGAATGCTGATGGGGACATTGGGGACAGGGCTGGAGGATGCTGCAGGGCACAGAGGCTCTGCTGCAGCTCCTGGGATTAACTTCAGTTTCAGAGGGAAAAGCTGGTGTGCCAAAGATGTCACCAAGGTGGTGACTGTGGGTGAAGCATCCACAGCTCCTTCCTGTCCCCACTGAAGCAAGCCCAGCCATGAGTTCCTGCCCCAAATGCTTCCCCAGGCAAATGCAGGCAGTT